TCTACCAACAAGAGGCAGTACACAGAGACAACGATCACATAATCAGTGAACTTAATAAAAACATTCACCGTTTCCTTGTTTCTTATTAAAATGTCAAACTCATTTGAACTACTTATCACTATCAAATTAATTTTTTAAATTTTTTTTTACACTGAACAAAATGGTGTGTCAAACGAGAACAAAGCACAAACACAATAAAATATAGATAGGAAATGAAAAACACAAGTCATGCAAAATAAAGAGATTAACGTTGTTTGACTTACAACCTACGTTCAGATTTTACAAATAGTATTCTACCAAGAAATAGAGATAATCGACAAGTCTCTCAAACTCTTAATCCGAATACACCGTTTGTCTCTTTTACTTTTTAATTTGGCTTTGAGTATTTTCTGTACCCAAATAATATAAATTCTAACATCCATATGCACGATCAGGACGATCAGGACCCATATAAAAGACGGGCAAGCGAATGAGTTAAAACTCGTACAAATTCTATCTGTCACAACATGCACTATCAGGACCCAAACAAAATTCGGATCATAAAACACAACGTGTTGATGATGGATTCTGTGCAACTTGGATCTGATCTAACTTCCTAAATAAATAGAAGAAAAAGTGATCCTACGAACACCGGTGTGTTACCGTGGAGTAGACTCCGACGAATAAGTCAGTGTGAATGATAATTTCCCTGGAGAAATCGAGAAATTGAGTTAGGGTTTATTGCGTACTTCAAAACGTTGATCCCTCCCCCTTTTTTATAGGGCTTAGGTTAAGATGTCACGTAGAATTACCTTATTGTAATTTGTAGACTTAATCCTCATCGTAATCTTTAATCCTTATCACAATCTTTAATCCTTATCGTAATCTGTAAATCCTATCTCAATCTGTAATCCTTATCGTAATCTGCAGAGCCTATCTCAATAGTGCGTTAATTTAGTAATCTTTCCTTAATTATGGATATTTAAATTATACATCTATCAGTTGCCCCCCGTTTCGGAAGATTGCTTGTCAAACCACCGGAACGTTAATTCCAAAATATCACACAATAATATATAGTTAGAATTGCAGAGCCTTGTCCATTAGCCTGACTTATATTGTCATTTCTCGAATACAGTCGGAGGTCATAGTATTACATTGGCAGCTCGTATACGTGGCAAGCTCGTATATTTGTCGTATATTGGCAAGCTTGTATATTTGTCGTAGTGCCACATTGGCAGCTCGTATATGTGGCAAGCTGCCATGTTGGTAGTCTACCGTTATGTGGCAAGCTGCCATGCCATGCTGCCGTGCCAAGCTGTCCTGCTGGCATGCTGCCGTTATTTGTCAAGTTGCCCTGGCAGGCATGTTGCTTTTATTTGGCAAGCTGCCCTGCTGGCATGCTGCCTTTATTTGGCAAGCTGCCCTGCTGGCATGCTGCTGTTATTTGGCAAGCTGCCCTGCTGGCATGCTGCCTTTATTTGGTAAGCTGTCCTACTGGCATGCTGCCGTTATTTGGCAAGCTGTCCTGCTGGCATGCTGCCTTTATTTGGCAAGCTGCCCTGCTGGCATACTGCCGTTATTTGGCAAGCTGCTTTGCTGGCATACTGCCTTTATTTGACAAGCTGCCCTGCTGGCATACTGCCTTTATTTGGTAAGCTGTCCTACTGGCATGCTGCCGTTATTTGGCAAGCTGCTCTGCTGGCATGCTGCCTTTATTTGGCAAGCTGCCCTGCTGGCATGCTACCGTTATTTTATACTTGATTTTATTGACATCTTTAGTCGGCTCGTCCCTTTAATATGGAAAGTAGATTAAGGCGAGTTTCACGTAACTCGTAATAAGGTAAGTAGATGAATACGAGCTTCACTCAGCTCACCCTTTAACAGGGGAAGTAGATTACTATGAGCTTCACCCAGCTCACCTTTTAATGAGGGAAGTAGATTACTATGAGTTTCACTCATCTCACCCTTTAACAAGGGAAGTAGATTAATACGAGCTTCACCCAGGTCACCTTTTAACAGGGGAAGTAGATTAATACGAGCTTCACCCAGGTCACCCTTTAACAGAGGAAGTAGATTACTATGAGCTTCACTCAGCTCACCCTTTAACAAGGGAAGTAGTTAACCCCTCATCTTTTTACGAGGGAAGTAGATTACTATGAGCTTCACTCATCTCACCCTTTAACAAGGGAAGTAGTTAACCCCTCATCTTTTTACGAGGGAAGAAGATGAAGCTGACCCTTCATTCTTTTAAGGGGGAAAGAGGTATAGTCTTGACATGGGAGTCATCTCCTTTGACGGTTGTCTTGAGATGTTGGCAAATCGTTGACGCTTGTCGCACTTTTGAACGAAGTCAAGTACATCTTTCTGCATGGTGGGCTAATAGTATCCTAGTCGGATGGCTTTGTTGGCAAGTGACCTACCCCCAGCATGGTTTCCACAAACTCCTAGGTGGATCTCTCTTAAAATGTAGTCAGCTTTCTCGCTAGAAACATATCGTAAATACGGCATGGAGAAACTTCTCTTGTTGAGCACCCCTTTGATAAGCGTATACCTAGCTGCCCGCATCTTGACCTTTCGAGCTTCTGCTCGGTCTGTTGGTAGCACCCCATCCTTGATATATCTGATGATAGGATCTGCCCATTCCACACTCAATATCGCTTGTTGCACTTCAATTTGTCTCTCCTGAGATATAGATGGTTCGTCTAAATATTCCAGTGATATATTCTTATTGATCTCAGGTTCAATGCAGTAGCTAGCCGGGCTAAAGCGTCTGCTTTCCCATTCTCTTCTCGTGGTATTTGATGAATTGAGAATCTTTGGAAGTGATTCTTTAATTCCTTCACCTTTTGTAGGTAACTCTTCATCTTCTCGTCTCATGCCTCATATTCCGCTTGAACTTGTCCAGCGACCAGCTCGGAGTCGGTGTAATTGTTCAACCCCTAGGGCATTTGCCACTTTTAATCCCGCTATCAAGGCTTCGTACTCTGCTTTGTTGTTGGTTGCGTTGAAACCAAACCGAAATGGGTACTGTATACTTTCTCCCTCTGGGGAGACAAGAACAAGCCCGGCTCCGCTAACCTGAACATTAGATGACCCATCCACGAACAAGTCCCAGACTACTTCTGGGCCCATCTGCTTACTTAAACCTGGTTCTGTCAAAAATTGGGGTTGTTTCTCCTCTTCTGGAGGGGTAAACTCAGCTAAGAAATCAGCCAACACCTGAGCCTTTACTGCTGTTCTTGGCTTATACTGAATGTCGAACACTTCTAACTCTACTAACCACTTCATTAGTCGACCAGAGCTTTCTGGCTTGTGTAGGACCTGTCGAAGGGGTTGATTTGTTAGGACCACTATCGTATGCGCTTGAAAGTATGGTCTTAGTTTCCTAGCGGACACAATTAAAGCAAAGGCCAACTGTTCCATCCTTGGATATCTTTCCTCCGCACCCCTAAGTGCTCTGCTCACGAAGTATACTGGCCTTTGGACCCCTTCTTCTCCGACCTCTTATCTTCACCATCTTTGTTTTTTCGTGCATTCATAGCATCCTCAGCGTTCATGTGCTTCCATGCTCTAACCATCAACTCTGTCATGCTTGTAGGGGCTTCTTTTGATAAGGAAAATAGGAACTTAGAAGTCTGTAGTCCTCCCATAAAGGCTGTGAGGGCAACCTTGTCATCCACCTCTTCTACCTGCAGCATATCAGCGTTAAAACGACTTATGTAACCACGGAGAGGCTTTCCCTTCTGCTGTTTCACATTCAATAAGTGTGTTGCTGTCTCCTATGCCTCTGCCCAGCGATGAAGTGTCCAATGAATTGTTTGCTTAACTCATTAAAGATTTCAATGGAGCCTGGCTTTAATTTATTGAACCAAGGACGAGCCCAACCCTTTAGTGTGGTAGGGAAAGCCCTGCACATAATCTCATCTGGTACGACTTGCAAATACATAAGAGCTTTGTAGGTCTCCAAATGATCGAGAGGGTCCCGCATCCCATCGAAGCTCTCAAGAGTCGGCTGTAGGTCTCCAAATAATCGAGAGGGTCCCGCGTCCCATCGAAGCTCTCAAGATTTGGCATATTAAATTTGCTAGGTAGAGGACAACTCATAACATAACAGCGAGGCTAAATGCTAGGTTGGTCTTCTGTACCAGATCGTTCACTGTGGCCTGGCCCTTCCCTTTCATTGCTTGTATGACGTCTTTGACCCTAGTTCTTAGATCTTGCATCTACAGATTGAAATAAGTGACGTCTTCAATCTTGTCACCAACACAACTAGAGGTACCTGCACGGAGCCTGGTATTATTCAGTTCAAGAGACCGATGGTGATGGCTTCTCTGTTGACCCCCTATTTGACTAAGCTCAGCTTCGTTGTCAATCCTACGGGAGTCATTCTTGGGTACTTCATTATTCTCTACCTCATTAAGGGCGGCTAAGCGTTGTAAAATCATTGAATTTTTCTGGACTAATTGGTTCATTCCCTTATTTAGGGTTTAAACCTGTTGTTCCAACGCTGTGACGCGTTCCTGATCGTTTGGGAATGCGGGGGGTTGCCTCGTCAAGTCCCTTTGATCAGAAGTTTGCAACGCTTCGTATTCGCCAGCAACCAGACCAGATCGCAATCGAACCATACTTTATTTAGAGAACTAAAATCGTTCCCACAGACGGCGCCAACTGTTGATGATGGATTCTACGCAATTTGGATCTGATCTGACTTCCTGAATAAAGAGAAGAAAAAGTGATCCTACGAACACCGGTGTGTTACCGGTGGAGTAGGTTCCGACGAACAAGTCAGTGTGAATGATAATCTCCCTGGAGAAATCGAGAAATTGAGTTAGGGTTTATTGCGTACCTCAAAACGTTGATCCCCCGCCTTTTTTATAGGGTTTAGGTTAAGATGTCACGTAGAATTACCTTATTGTAATCTGTAGACTTAATCTTCGTCGTAATCTTTAATCCTTATCACAATCTTTAATCCTTATCGTAATCTGTAAAGCCTATCTCAATCTGTAATCCTTATCGTAATCTGCAGAGCCTATCTCAATAGTGCGTTAATTTAGTAATCTTTCCTTAATTATACATCCATCACAACGCATCTGTTTATATTGCGGAATCTTTCCCAAACCCATATTTTTCTTCCTTTGTTACTTGCTAATTGGTTTCACAAATGATCAATCATCAATGGGACCGGTTTCATGTAACTGAATAATGTGAGATATACTCCATCTCTATATTTACATGTATAGCAGTTTAGAGAGGGAGAAACTCTACATTCAAGCTCTAGTACACCTAAGAGTTCCGCCTCTTAAACTTTCACATACTCCCCGTCTTTGCCTTCCAATATTAATATGGCATCTTCCTCAGACTCTGAAATATTGTCTTCTGTAAAGAAGTACCCATATCCAGAAGAGGTTAACGTGAGGCGTTTTGTTAAAGTCATTCTCTCTAAACAAAACTACTTTGTGTGGAGAAAGAAGATGCTTCTTTTTTTTAAGCGGCAAGGTTTGGTTGGTTTCATCAATGGTGAAGTTGTGGCACCACCGGAAAAGATCACAATACCAAATGACGATGATGTTAACTCTCCCAAGGGCACAAAGGAGATCGAGGACCAGGATTACGAGGACTGGAAAAGATCGGATGAATTGTTACAAAGATGGATAAGAGCGACGATTAGTGAAGAAGTTCTTCCGCATGTGGTGTGCTTGAAAACTGCTCAAGATATGTGGTCAAAGTTAATTACCCTGCATGAAACAAAAATAGGTATTTATGGTCGTGACTTAATTAATTATGTGAATGATTACATACATATATAGTTAATTAATTTACATATAAGTATGAGTACTTCAACCTAGCATATCCATCATTAATTGATTAATTTTTCTCCAACTTAACCTCTTTTTGCAGAGTACCCACACCCAGCAGAGATCAACGTGAGGGATTTTGTTCAAATCAAGCTCTCTAAATTAGATAACTATTTTAGGTGGAAGTCATTGATGCTTGGTCTTATTGAGAATCAAGGCATGTTTGGTTTCATAAGCGGTGAGGTTTCAGCACCACCTGAAACGATCAGAGTACCAGTTGATGATGATGACGATAGCTTCTACTTTCGCACGAAGGAGATAGAGAACCAGGATTATCAGGACTGGAAAAGATCCGACGAGCTCTTGCAAAGATGGATAAAGCAAACCATCAATGAAGATGTTCTTCCAAGTGTTGAGTGCTGGAAAACTGCTAAAGATATTTGGTCACAGTTGGTTATCCTGGGTGAGAGAAAAATGGGTAAGCTCATCACTTAATTATTTGGATGTTTTAATTTACATTAATTTACAAATATATGTAGTGCGTACTTTAACTTAGATAGCTAGCTTCAATGATTAATTGTTTAAATTAATTCTCAAACTCTCCTCTCTTTTTAATTTGCAGAGTACCCAATAGATATCAATGTCACGGACATTGTTCCCATCAAGCTCTCTAGTAGTACCGATAACTACTCCAGTTGGAAAACACTGATGCTTCATTTTATTGAGAGTCAGGGCATGCTTGGTTTCATCAATGGAGAGGCTTCAAAACAAACACTTTCTGATGACAACAGCAGCAGCAATGATGAATGGAGAAAATCAGACGAGAAGTTGCAAAGATGGATCAAGGAAACGATCAATGTAGACATCCGGCGAGACTTGGTACTGCTTGAAACATCAAAAGATATATGGGAAAGGTTAATTATCATGCATGAAACTAATATGGGTACGTAAGGTCTTTGCTTAATTATATTCCAATGTTAATTCCATCAGTGACTTAAACTCTTCCTCTTTTAATTTAATTGCAGTGTACCCATACCCAATAGAGGTGAACGCGTGTGACTTTGTTCCCTTCAAGCTTTCCTATGGCAACTATCGTGAGTGGAGATGTCTGATGGTTCGTCTTATTGCGAATCAAGGATTGATTGGTTTCATTTTTCCACAACATCATCATATCCCAAGAATAGATTCCTTGGCGTGGAAAAGAACAGATGCGTTGTTGCAAAGTTGGATAATAAGGACAATCAATGAAAGCTTCCTTCCAAGTGTTTTGGATTTGCAATCTGCCAGTGATATGTGGACAAAGTTAGACAAATTGTCCAATTCTAAAACTCTAATTGGTAAGGTTACTTGGGTCATCGCATAGTTCATTAAAATAAAGAATTTTCAGTGGGTGTGTTGGATTGATAATCTAGTTAATTAATTATTGTAGTCCAATAAAATTTCTCCCTGATTAATGTGTAAATGGGTAAATACATATAGACTAATTAATTCATTTTGATAACACGACAGTGGAAAACTGATGTGCTTTAATTAATCTTGTGTAGAATACCCATACCCAGTAGAGGTTAACGTGGGGGACTATGTTCCCGTCAAGCTCTCTAGAGAAAACTACTCTTTGTGGGCAAAATTGATGCGACGTCTTATTAAGACACAAGGCCTGAAAGGTTTCATAACTGGCACAGTTCCTAGACCAGACGAAACATGGAAGAACGATAATAGGCGAGAGGCATGGAAAAGAACGGACGGCCTACTGCAAAGCTGGATAATGGGGACGATGGATCAAAAAGATCTTGTTGCATGTGTGGTGAACTCGGAAACTGCCCATGATATGTGGAATAAATTACAAAAAGTCTTTACTCAAAAGAGTTCCTACAAAAGAAGTGAAACGAGTAAGCTCAATCTCTTGCACACCACATAGATAGATAGTTTATTATAATTTTATTATTATTATTATTTATTTATTTCCTTCTAATTTATGATAATGCTTTATTTTATTTATTTTTTATACGCCACACTTTATGAGAGTACAAATTTTTATGTTTGTTTAATTTGAATGGCAGTGAAAAACAAAGCCGCCCAAGATAAAGATTTAGGCTTTTACCGGCCGCTGCATAGAGCTACACTGAGAAGTGAATGGGACAAAGCCAAAGAATTCTTGGAACAAGAACAAGATGCAGTCCATGCGGACATCACGGGACAGGGGGAAACAATACTGATGGTAGCAATTAGGTCTCAGAAGAGAAACCATTTTGTTAAGAATCTATTGGATTTTATGTCATCAGATGAGGATTTGACTGTAACTAATCACAAATGCCAGACAAGTCTTCATTTAGCAGTATCATCCGACAACCTTGAGGCAGCAAAGTTGTTAGTGGCCAAGGACCAAAGTCTGCCCAATGTTAAAGACGATTACGGGAATCTACCTCTCCAGCTAGCTGCTTACCTTGGCCACAGAAATATGGTCCTTTACTTAATGGACGTCACCGGAGATGTCATTAATCATAGGCCATTTGAGGATGACGAAGATGGGGGTGATGTTGTTATTGGTTTGATATTACATGGTCTATACGGTGAGTAGTATTTTATTTTATAGGAACAGAAAATGCAATAAAAAAGAATAGTTCCTTAATTTGTAGTTAACCTTTTCTTTTCTCTCTCTTTAACAGACATTGCTCTACTGTTGGTTAAGCGCTATGGTGCATTTGCAAGGGAGGAACTGCAGCTCTCTCTATTGCAAGCAATTTCTATGGAAAATTCTGCATTTCGAAGTGGAAAAAAATTCAACTTTGGCCAAAGCTTGATCTACTTTTGTTCGTCTAAGTCTATCCTTTCCCTCTCTTCTTGATTTATTATTATTATTTTTTTCTCTTGTTGGGCCTAGGCATGCATATCGATAGCAATAGAAATTTTCTATAGGCACAATAGAAATTTTTAGATGCCATTAAACTAAATTTGAAAGTCAACAATTCACTAAACTCGATGACCAAAAAAGGGTAAAATATTTTCTTGAGTTTATCATCTGGAGCCTTTCTTTGGGAACGAATTAATGAACTAATTAAGAAGTTTTCAAGCCCCACATAGAATAACAAGAGAATTACGGACTGCAACCACAAATGTGATACAAAATTAGACGGGAAACCAAAATATTCCACTTTTCTCCGCTTTTCTTTTTTTCTTATTAAATTATTTTTCCTGAAGGTTTCATAAATGAAACCAAAATAAAAGAGAGATAGACTTAATATACAAAATTATAATTTGCCACTTGTTCTTTTGTACTACTGAACTGTGTCTTTTAGAAAGTTTTTAATTTTAATTTTAATTTTTATTTTATAAAGAAAGTAGTACTCACTCACCTATTTCACTGCCCACTATTTTCTTTTCTAGATGTTCCGGCAAAGTTGGAAGAGCCTACATGGCACTGGAGCGGTGGAGACATTGAGAATCCTATAAATTGCTGCATTTATGGTCTGTTTACAGTCTATTAATTATTTTTCGCTCTATATTTGAGATATATATATATACACACACACATACATATATAGTTTCTAATAACAATTGTTTGTCTGTTATTATTTATTTATTATTTTTTATATCATATAAATTTGCTCCTGTGGTCTGTATGCCCTAGATTTAGGGCGGAAAACCTATTCCAACATCAGATAAAGGGAAATCCTACAAAAGATGTCTTTCCTGCGGTTTCTGACTAAAGAACAGGAGGGTCAGTCCTTCCCACGTGTCAAGTTTCATAAATGAATGCAGCCTCAGGCTAATGATATGGGGGATCCCGGTCATAGTATGGGAGTGGAAAAGGCGCAGTACTGACTATAGGAATAGAAACATGGATGGGTCGACAATTATTTATTTTTTATTTTTTATATCATATGAAATATCAGACAAACAATTGTTGTTAGAAACTATATATGTATATATATATCTACCACAACCAGTTAAGTGTTACGCATGTCACCTAAAATTTAATAGATGGTGGAATTAGTGGTTGCATTGAAATTATCAAGTTAAAATTAAGGGTAGTTAATTTTCTTTTTTGGTTGACATACGCAAGTTTTGTTGTAAGCCCGGCTTGGGCCTTAGGCGACCCGGTCAATAAAAAACTCCAAAATTTTAGATTTTTTTTTATTTTTTTTATATTAAGTTATATTATAATTGTTTTTTAATATTGTTAAATTCTAATAAATATAAAAAATTTATATTAGGTTTTAAAGATTTATATCCTAAAATAACTTTTTTCTCTCTCCGCTCGTTTCGATTTTATATTAGGTCTTAAATATTTATATCCTAAAATAATTATTTTTTCTCTTTTCTCTCTCTTTTCATTCATTCCGATTTTATATTAGGTCTCAAATATTTATATAGTAACTTCAAATATTTATATTCTAAAATAACTTCATACATAAATTTAATAGGCCACCAAAGATTTACATTCTTGTATGATGTTTTTTTTGCTTTTTCTTTTTCTACTTTCATTCATGATTTACAAGAAATCCTAACCGATATAGAAATTTAATATTAGGCCCAAAAATCTTTCTTAATTTCTCTTTCCCTCTCATTCACTTTTTTTATGCCGGCACTAAAAACATTTTTGTGTAAGTTAAGCCAATAGTAAAATATTAAATATCTATTTAATGTCGTTGTTCGGAAAAATGGCAAAAGCTTTCCATATTCTTTTTATTTTATTATTAGTATGTTTTTATGTTTTATCTTCTTCTTTTCAACAAGTCTCTCCTCCCACTCTCATTATAAGTGTTTACAATTGTTATGAACGCATTTTTATTCTATTGAAAAATTTGTAGAAGTATTGAATTTGAATTTTCTAAATTAGGTTCAACAGTTCTTTTTCTTTAATTTTATTAACTTTTGTTATTATAAATTTGTGTGTATTTTTTTTTTTATATATTTGTATATTTTGTTTTTGAGTTGTGACTAATTTTATTTATATTGTTTGAAAAGGTCACTTTTTATTTTTTGCCTAAGGCCCCCAATTAGATTGAGTCGCCCTGGTTGTAAGAGTGCAGTGAAGTAATTTTATTTTTAATTTTGTTTTATATATATTATTTTGTAGATACAATGAAGCAAAAGTTGCTCTGCTTATTTTGGAAAGTGGCTGAAATGCTAGGTAAGGAACCGATAAATTGATAGTAGCAACTTTTTACGTTTAATGATATTTACTATAAATCATTTACACCAAATACTTCATTCTTAATAAATTCTTCGACTTAAGCAGTGCCATGGATCAAGCGAGTTCGAGAGATAAAATGGAAAAATGAGCACGCACTTCAGCTTGTCAAACAACTGTGCATGGAATATGAAAAATTTGATTTCTCAGAAGTCGGAGATATAATCAGAGCATCACTAATAGCCGCAACAACTTTGGGGATTCCGGAAGTTGTTAAAGAGATTATTTCAGTATTTCCTGAAACAATATATACCACAAACGAGGAGGAACAAAATTTATTTTATATTGCAATTTTGAACCGTCAGAGAAACGTATTTAAACTCATTTATCAACTTTCTGACAAGTCTATTATCCATTCTCTTTTAACATGGCCTGATTCATCGCTCAACACTAGCTTGGATCTAGTTGCATGTTTAAAAAGTGAGCAAAGTAGCAAACTCAAAATTGATGCAGCTGGTGCAGCTCTACAAATGCAACTTGAACTACAATGGTTTAAGGTAATATTTTTATGCCTCTTAAAAATATGACTTGTGATAGTAATTTTCTTTATTTTCTCATTTACTAAACATGTCTGTAAAGTTAGGACCCTGTACATTTTCTGATTGAGTTGTAAATAGGTTGTGCCATCTAAATAAAGATAGGACTTCTTTTAGCAACTACAATGAATTGAAAATTATTTTTCTGAATTAAAAAATTGTCCTCTAACATTTTGGATGTGGATGTGGGTTCACCACAAATTTTCTAAAATTCTCTCTAACATTTTGGTCTGAAAAAAAATAAAAAATTCTATGTTCGATTAATCATATCATATATATATATATATAATTACAAAATTTATCTTCCTAAATTTAATCATATCAGGCTTAGAACTAAATTTTTTTCAATTTTAATTATGAAGTATCAATTTCAATTTAATACTTCTTTCTATTGTGGTTGCCGCATTTAAAATTGCAGAGCTTTTACAACTTGGAGGCATTACAACCAGCTGGATTATACTTATGTTTGGCTGTATAACATTGAATCCTTATAATTGAACTTTGGAGTAATTGGAGAAAAGTTTATTTTAAATTTATAGAAAATTAAAGTTAATTTTTTTTTTTGCAATTTCACCAATTTTAATTTTAAGACTCCAATTTCATATAGAAGTACATAACATAGAACCTAAAAATTTTATTTTATTTTCACAAATAAAGATCCGAGACATGTTAGCCTTGGGCACCTCAACCCTGTAATGGAACTTTATATATGTTCCCTGGTCCCTGGATGAGCGGACGGTAAAGAAATTTAGTTTAAATTTATTTATTTATTGATAAATGAAACAAAAAGAAGAATACATAAATTCCTTTCTTTTGGGCAAAAATGATATATTAAATTCAAAATTTTTTTTACACCAACTCATATTTTTAACTCTCTATTTTTGGAACAAATCAAATGTGCATTCTAATCGAAAATCATCCAATTTATTGCAGGAAGTAGAAAAAATTTCAATTTTTTATGGGAGCAAGTGGGAAATTGGAAGAAAGACACCTGCCATGATATTTTCTGAGACACATAGAGACTTGATGAAAGAAGGAGAGAAATGGTTAAAAGACACGGCTAACTCATGCACAATTGTCGCAGCTCTAGTTGTTACAATAGTATTTGCCGCTGTCATTACAGTACCAGGTGGAAGTGATAACATTAACGGCCTTCCAATTTTTTCCAAAGATAAAGCATTTATAATCTTTATCATATCCGATGCGCTAGCTCTTTTTTCATCTGCTTCCTCTTTGTTAATGTTCTTGTCAATTCTCACTTCGCGTTATGCAGAGATTGATTTTCTATCCACTCTACCCAAAAGATTAATTTTTGGTCTCATAACTCTATTTGTCTCTATAGTATCTATGATGATAGCTTTTGGAGCCACCCTCTACCTTATTTTTGGACAAAAGAAATCGTGGATTCTTACTCCTATAAGTGTTTTTTCTACTGCACCCGTGATCTTGTTTGCATCCTGGCAATTTCCTCTGCTTTGGGATATGATCAAATCTACCTATGGTGATGGCATTTTCGGCAAACACAGTGATGCTTTGCTCTTCTAGATCAAGTAGACAGAGGATGTAGTTTATTTTTCTCTCTCTATTAGTATGTATAATAAAGTCCTGTTTGTTGTGACAATTGTTGCTATGGTAAGAATTTAAGAGTATTTGATTTGACCTTTCCTCTATTTACTATCATTCCTCCATATTTCATCAATGTGATTCAGGTTGAGTGTATTGAAAGGGATGGACTTCACCGTTATATAAAGTTCTTATGCTATTTTCTCATTCACGTAACATAAATATGGTCTTGTTTGTTCACCGAAAAGTAAAAAAATTATTTTACTTAAAAAAAATATATTTTTGAAGAAAAATATTTTAGGTCGAAACAAACTAAGACTAAATTGGTAAAAGGCTGCAATAAGGCTACAGTCATAAAAGAATGAGTAAAAGAATTGGATAATAAAAAAACGACAAAGAACAAGAAGAAGAAGTAAAAATTGATGCTAGTGTAAATGGAAAAACAATATTATAGAGGCACTTTCATCTTCTGAACTGGTGAGAAGAAATATATGACTTAGTGGTAGTTAAGTATTTATAAAAATATTTATTGACAAATTTAACTTTGACTAATGAAACGTAAAAATTGAAACCGTGGTTCCCAATTGCGTCTCTCGTTTCAGAGTCATGGTTCCCACTTGGAAATTTACTGCGTCTCTCGTTTCTCAGTCAAGGTTCCCAATTGAACCCCTCTCTCTCTCATCGCAAAACGCTAGTACAAGGTCTGTTACCCTCAATTTCTCTTCTCTTCAACTGTTTGATTGCTGATTTTAGTTTTGTTTAGCTTTTTAGCGTTTTCCAGTTTTGGGTTTTCAGATTCCGATCAAATTGAAAGCACTCTAAAATTTGGTCAGAGTCAAATTAAACATCGAATAAAAAATTATTATGTTGTTAGGTGTTTTTCTAGCTTTTTAAGTAGTAAGATTTTCTCAAGATTGGAAGTCTCAATTGAACGTCTTGAATTTGTCGTATTGGGTTGCTTGTATCTGGTTGAGTTGAAGGATTGATTTGCTTCAAACCACCTTAAATTTGTAGAAACCATCGAAACAACAAAAAATGAGCGTTTGAGTTGTTGAGTAATTGGGAAATCACTTTTCATCAACTGTCAATGAATTGAAGAAGCTTTAATGATATGATTGCATTTTGGGTATTTTTAAGGTTTGATTTCTGTGTCGTTTTCGTCATTAGAAGAAGATGTATGGCAATTTTAAGGAGCAGGCTATATTGTATGTTTATATTAATTGTTTATACGAATGCTCACATTCATATTGTGTGTGAAGCAGGCGCTTTAAGACCCATTTGAAGTATGAGAAGAACCCAAAGATTAAGCACTGAGTACTAGAGGAGGGCCGAAGAGATTCGGGCTGTTCTTGATTGGAGGGACTGGTTCTCCCTCCAATGGGGATGCTGCAGTAGCCACGCGGCGGAAGACAAAGCCTAAGAATGGATCGAGGCGGAGACAGAGGGAAGCCAAATGTGAAGTGGAATGATGTTTGCAGGGCTTGAGAGTGCCAAGCAGGCGTTGCAGGATATCTGTTTTTGTTTTTATGTTGCCTCTTGTTGCCTTCAATGTAAAAACAAACTGAATGATGGTAACAATTCACCAATGACAATAAGTACTAAACACATTTTTTTTGGGGATTAAATGGCCTTGTTGAGTCAAAATTTATGAGCACAAGAATTAAACATAAAGTTATTACAAACAATTTGCTCCACCTTTTAATCTTCAGACAATGATCTCCAGTGGGTTGCTCTATTAGCCGTACTTTCCTGATTCCAGTTGTAAGTTGTGTATTAGGATATGTCGTAATGTATTGTTATTGTTCTTGCTGTTGTCGTCGTCTTCTTTTTTTTTTTTTTTTTTTTTTTTTTTTTTTTTTTTCACACAAATTTTTGATGTTCCATGTGATTGGTGAATGCAAATTTCACAACAAAAATGAAAGAGAGAATATGAACACATAACTCAAGATCCTTAGGTACTTTCTGTTCGCGCGGTTTTTGTTCCCTACGCCGGTCGATGGACTCTTCGCGGGCGTGCCAGAGTATTTGTACAAAATACCCAAAATATGTAATTGAACACCAGCCTATCCCTTTTTCCGATGGCTGACTCTCAGGCGATTGTGTGGGAGAGAGACTAGTAAGAACTCCCAGCAATGTTTCTTTTATGCCTTGTTTGTAGCAAGGACTTTTTAGAGTGTCTAAAGAAATGTAACGGCTGATGAATGTTTGAATGGATGGAATGGCCGAGTGAAGACAGGCGGCAAGAACTTAATCGATCGCCGGCCGAACGTGATGGCGAGAACTTAATCAATCGCCATCAGCTAAACACAATGGCAAGAATTTAATCGATCGCCACTGAAACGTGATAGCAAGAATTTAATCAATTGCTATCAGCCAAGTAATGACAAGAATTTAATCAATTGTCACTACGATTCAATGGCAAGAATTTAATCAATTGCCATTGAATTGAAAGCCTAACTAAAATTGCGTAATTAAAATTGGCATAATTGAAATTGAAAGAAAGTAAATGGCTGAATTGAAATAGTTGACAATGATCTAATCAATTGCCATTAAATTGAAATAAAGAAATTGATAGGAAAAAATGACGTAGAGTCAATTGAAAACATTTTAGTTGAAATGCATGTTTTGTGGTGGTGCTGGACGAATTGGAATAGGAATACAATACTTCTATTTATAGAAGTTCTATCTCAACTTATTTTCCTAAGTTATTGCTAGAAAATCTCTCCTTCTTTGATTCTTTTTCTTCACAATTTGAACTCAGTCAAATCCTATTGTTATTCTGCTTCCTTTCTTGTTTTGTTTCAGTAGGAAATCTCTGTATAAACAACCTTCCTCGATTTAATCACATGTAAGTTGCCGAGATATTGCTAGAAAGTTGCTGAAAAGTTGCTAAGTTCTAGCAACTTCCTTTTATAAACTTGGCAGCCGTGTTCTATCCCAAGTGACCCATCCTTTAGCGCCATGTCAAGGCCACTTGTCACAATTAGATTTGTTCACTTCATGCTGCCAACCTTATATACATGTCTTCAAAGCTTTCCTTCTTTCATCAAACTAAACTTCCTATTTTATAGGAATTTAGTTATTGAGTTTCATCCAAACTCTAGCCTTTTCCTTTTCTATTAACAGCCCATTTTGAAAAAAGTCAAATGTGAGTTGCTATATTTCAGCAACTGCCATATCATTAGGTGGCTGAAATATATCTTTCTATATTTGCTCCTAATATTTTCAAACTGGCCGATCCATTCTTGGACATGCTCAACCCTTATCGGCTTCCCATTGGTCCATGTCGCTGCTGAAGTGGCTGCCAAGTTTTGGTGCCAACAAATGCCCCCTGAATTTCAAAGGCTTTTATCACTTATGATACGAAGCGTTTGGAATTTGAATCGGCCTAAAATTGTAATTCAAATTTTAGTAATAAATCCTTTTCCCAACCACCTGTTTTAATGGTTATCTTTCCCAATTAAAGCGGCTACTACACTAATCCGCTATTACATCCAACAAGTATTTAGCTTGATACCCTCTAATCCCTAAAATCATTCTTCTTTCCTTAAACTTTCTATCTCTGAAATTCTTTCTCGGCGAAATCGTTCCTGACGTCCTCTATGGCTCCTAAGAAAACTAAATCAACTGATTCCACCTCTATCCCTCAACCTACCGATCCTTCAACTCATGGCAACATCATAGAAAAATCCCTAAAAACTCTATCTCCTTACAAATATTGTCTCAATACCCTTATCGATCTTCGTACTGACTTCAAAGGCTTAGGTCCTGCTTTCCTTGATGAAACTCCTTCATCAATCTCACCTTTCTATCCTTTGGCCGACGTTCTTCCATTCCTTCAAACCTTCCCTCCTAATGAAAATGGCAGTTTGCCACACTTTCATTTTAGAACATGGCATAGCCCAAATGATGCTTGGATCAATTGGGTCGACCGAGTTGGAGCTGTGAAGGGAGAAATATGGAAGGATTGTGGCATATATGATGCCATTCAGCTAAGTAAAACTAACATCGCCCAAGACAGAGCCTTGATGATAGCAGCCATGTTTAATTGGTCGACCTCCACCAACTCCTTACACTTGAAATGTGGCATGATGGCTCCAACCATTCAAGACGTGTGCTATCTAACCGGCCTTAAACCCTTTGGGATTGATGTAAGTACCTTAATGGTAGAAAAGGATTCTCCTTTCATCTTCCCTTCAAAGCAAACTGGAACCAAATCATCTGAATCCTCTTATGGCAAATACTTAACTTCCACCATGGATCCTCGCGTCCCTGTGAATGATGCTGAACATATTGCCTTCTTGTTGGCGTGGCTGAACAAGTTTCTTCTATGCGTACCGGCCTTTTAAGTCACAAAGGATTACATTCATGTGGCCGTTGCCCTTTCAAGAGGTAAACACCTTGCTCTTGCCCCCTTGGTGCTTTCTCATTTATATAGAGGGATTTATGACTTGCTTACCTCCAACTTCGGACGCTATGGTGGTCCCCTCTGGTTATTTCAAATTTGGCTTCAAGTGTACTTTCCTGAACTCGGACCTGTGGTAAGGCCTTCGGCCAATGACCCATTACTTTCTGTAAGTTACGCATCAGCCGTACCTAAATCCCATTCGTTTGGAGATTGCTTCAATTTCTTTTACTCCGGTTGTGAACAGAGGACTATCAGCCAATTCCTTCCATTTTTCTCATTGCTCACAAGTACCTCGATGGCTGACTCCTCCTCAAGGAGTGTCTACCAAAAAATCAGCTGATAAGCATTCGGCCATGTGGGCTAGTTTCTTACTTTCAAGAGACCTTCACTTCAACACTGGCCCTCTAGGCACAGTAAACTCAAAAGTTGGAGTTGAGTTCTACAATCCAAACCAACTTGCTAGGCAATTTGGTCTGACTCAAATGATCCCCATGCCCCCTTATTTCTCTTTAAACAAAAACTTCCATAGGCGTGTGGTATTTCCAGATGACTCCTATGTAAAGAACGTGTCCTCCCGGTTCTCAAATCTACAAGTCGGATTCCAATTCCAACCCTTCATAAAAAACCCAGCCTCAGATTCTAGTTTTGATCAATGGTGGTCTTCTTACATTACTTCTACAAGGACGGCTGATAGCCAGTCCCTTGTTGTTAAAATATTGGAATCTTTCAAGTTCATATCTGTGGCCTTTGAAGGGGCATTCGTAATTTCCCGGGCCGTTACCCCAAAGAAGATGCCTCAAAAAGATCCTCCCAAAGATAAAAAACAAACGGCCAAGAAACTCCCTTTCTCTCAGCCAACAGATGCTCCAATAAGGACCAATAAAGAGAGAAAAGCTAAGGCCAAAGCCACTGTCAGCCTCCTCAAGGGTACGATCTTCCTTTATATATATATATATATATATATATATATATATATAAACTTTTAATTGAAATTCTCTTACCCCCCTTTTTTTTTCTTTTTTTTTTTTCCGCAGATTCAGACAGTGGAACTTTATCAGCCTCGCTTAATCCAGAAGACGTTGAGCCCCAAGATGATGAGATTTCCTCCAGCCAACCTCCTCAGCCTTCAATAACTGAATCAGCCATCATCCCTGATGTTCCTCCAATTCCTCCAAAGGTAAAAGTATTTTTTTTATTTTTTTTATTTTTTTATTTTTTTATTTTATCTATTAACACACAAAGACAATCATATCGGCTCAATTGTTAAAATACTTAGCCAATATTGATTTCTAATTCTCGGCCACAACTATTATTGGCCGAGACAAACTTTAATAAAGCTTCCATCTCCAGGGAAAAAGAAAGAAATCAACTGCTCATGGCACTTTAAAAAGAACAAGATTGAGCACACGTAAGAAACAGGAAGTGGAAGAAAATCTAGAAAGCCTTCATCCTACAGAAGACGTGGCCGATGATCCCGTAATTAATGTGGCTGACACTTCTTCTGATCATTCCTCAGATGAAAAAGAGGTAAAGATAATTGTACTTGAAATTTCCAAACTTTTCAATTAATATGGTCCCTAATTTCTTCTCTTTTGCAGCAATCTTCTCTTCTTGACTTGGTCTATAGCCCAGTTAGAAATTTCAGCCCTCTGAAGGATTTTCATGATCCCATTGAGGTGCCCTTCAATGTTCAAGTCACTCCTGCTAAAACTTCATCCCAGGGAGATAGCACAGCGGTTCAGCCAGAATTTCCTCCTCCAGAAACCAGTCATCAGCCACTCTTAGTGACAGACATAGCCGAATCATCTAAGGTATTGACTATCTCATGTCCCAAAAAAAAAAAAAAAAAAAAAAAAAAAAAAAAAAAAAAAAAACTTAAGATCTAATCTTTCCTCATTTTGTCAGGTTGTGTATGAGAAAACTCAAATTATTCCTTTATTTCCTCCACAAAAAGTTCCTGCTTCATCTCTATTGGCCTTGAGCAATTTTTTTAAGGATGTGGTGGCTTCAGTGACCGAAGAGAAAGAAAGTGAATCTTCTGGAGCCACCCCAGTCACTTCAACCAATATCCCTATACAATCCTTAAAAGAGACCAAAAAATCTTTACTTGAGATCTTGAAAAGGGATGCTGCTGATCTTCCTAATTTTGAAAGTGAGCTCACAACAGTGCTTTCTACACTCAGCCAGTACCCAGACTTTCCGGTTGATCTTTAAGCCACTATTGCTACCTTTAAAGGCTAGTTACCAACTCTGACCGATGATATTTTCCAAGCCAATGAAGCAATCAACCAATTCAACAAGAGTAAAAACAGGAAGGATACCCTTGCTAACCAATTGTTAATTCAAGCTTCCTCCTTTGAAAGAGTGAATACAGAGTTCATCGGCCTTGAGGAAAGAGAACATGTCCTTCAGAAAGAGATCGACCAGATCCATGCTCGTAAGGC